AGGTGCCCTTGCCTCCTTTGAAGGCCCCACACCGATGTTGGCTACACTCCCACTGTGTTGCCTCTAAATCCAAAGAGACAGAGGCGTCCGAGGGATCCTTACACTCCTAGGACTTAGTTGGTTATGTCGAACTTATGTCGAACGAATATTGTTGTCCGAAACTTGCAGACTCATGAACCAATGAAAATGTTATGTGGCAACTTATCAACTTGCGCACAGACTCCATTTATTTGCTTCATGTTAGTTTCAATCCGTCGCGGCAGCACTTGTAGTTGTTTACCGCACTGATAGCAGCTCTTGTTCAATTGGAATTGAGGTTGGTCGGCTTCTGTCTGCGTCCAGGTCCTACCACGCCATGGGCCTTGGCGCGTCAGTGCCGTGCCGTGGGCCTTGGCGTGATAGAACCTGGGCTTAGGGTTACGTGCCAAACTAGAACATCGATCCGCCAAACGTGCTGCGCCGTGGGCCTTGTTATTTTACATTGATCTGATGCTAATAACATAAATTACATGCTACTATTTTAAAATACATGGGAAACATGCAAGATATATATGCCAGCCAACCGTATTCGAAATAATTTCACTCGATTTTGTTTGTTTTAGAAATTCTCAACGCATTCGCTATTATTAAAAAACTTGGATGCATCGGAGAGCGACAAACGGATGGGCCAGAGGGTGACAAACGGATGGGATCACTTTAGATCGACCATGGGTAATCCGAGTATATGATACATGGGTACAATACATCAATAGTTCAAATGGAAAACAAGACAACACAATAAAAGTTCTAGTACATAGCTACATTGATCATTAATAAAACATGGAACTAACAGACGGTGCAATCAAAAACCCTCAGTCAGAAACATACTAAGTAAACAACTCATCATCCGAGTACCAATCCTCGACCACAACCCTGTTGCTGTGGCTAGGGTCACCTGCATTGCCCTGATCTGCCTTTCGCCTGTAGTAAGCGGCCTCCGCTTCATCTGTGGCCTAAGATAAGAACGTGTTCTCTTCCTCCTCGTTCATGTGGCTAGGCTCACCTGCATTGCTCTAACTTGTGTGTCGCCTGTAGTAAGCGGCCTCCACTTCATCTGTGGCCTCTGCGGCCTGAGTGAAGAACGCGTCGTCATCCTCCTCCGCCTGCAAGCCCATCTCTGTTAGAGCGATGAGCTCGCTCAGTCTGCCAGTGTCGTCCTCCGCCTCCTCCGCCTACAAGTCTGCCTCTGCTAGAGTAATGAGCTCGCTCAGTCTGCCAGTGTCATCCTCAACCTCCTCCACCTACAAGTTTGCCTCTGCTAGAGCGATGAGCTCGCTCAGTCTGGCAGTGTCGTCCTCATCCTCGTCCCCCTCATCAGACAACACAATCGGTGATTGAACGGTGCAACCAGCTCGTGTTCTATGCTCATCTAACTTCTTTTCCTCATACCTTGCACGAGCCACCTCTCCGTCATGGTCCTGACTGCATCCAATCCCTTTATGTATAAAATGCAATCAGTTTGCAACGCGATTATATTACATTTAAAATTAGGCAACGAAAATAATGGTTTTCAAGCACTCACTGGCACATAATGCAACAACATGCTTGTTCAAGACATGCATCTGTACTCTTGTCTCCTCCCTTGCCTCCTTGCTTGCCCTCTCCTCCTTTAACACCCTCCGTCTCTCCAATCCCCATTTGTCAAGCCCAACATCGATCGGGTTACGAATACCGCGTTGTCTAGCAAACTCACGCATCTTGTCTTTGTGATGTTTAACAAATAGGTTGATGTAGTCAAGTCCATATCCCCTCTTTCGTGCAATTACTTGCCTCCCCTTCAGTTCATCCAAGAACTTAGCTTGACCATCAAAACATTCCCACCTACATTTCCTAGTGCTCGGTTCAAACGAAAAATTATATTATATATGTCTTAGCAAAAGAAACAAAATACGATTTTATATTTACCACAAAAATAACCAACCTCATTATAGTCAACCATATGGCCGCAATAATAGCCTATTCCAAGCTCCGAAGGGACTAGGCCATAGTTGGATTTAACACCACATTCACACATGATAGGAGGTGCTTTGTAAATTACCCTTTCTTTCTTCTTTTCCTTAACCTTTGGCGGTTCTTCCGTCCATTGGTTCTTAGGACCATACAACCACTCCTTGAAACAACACTTCGCTATTGAAAACACCTAAATAAGGTGACATTAGTACATGAACATATATAGCTCAACATTTCAACATATACACTTTGCACTTACTTCATGCTTGTTTGGACACACAAACTCCAATGTATTCTCAGAGTTTATCACAGCTCGATCTCCGCAATCGCACAGAGGAGGTTCCTTGAGTCGTCTAACTGCGGCTAAGTGCTTCTCCTTAGCCGTCATTGGAGGGGGTTAGGGGGAGGTGGAACCCACCGCTCGAAATGCTCTCGTGGATGTCGCCCTCTCCACCAATCGTCGAAAAGGAGGTACATGGGGTCAAACTTGTCTGCACCGTCGATCCACTGAAAGAAAAAACACCTCTCATGGGCCTATACAATAAAATTTCAACAAAATATTAGTAACCTAGTAATACAAATGAAGAAAAAACATACAGAAACAATTACTTACATTAAAACGACTGCATGTGTAGAAGCAACGAGTCGCTGTGTCCGGATGTCTCGATTGAAACACGTCGGCCGGACGACCACAGTCACAGGGACAGGGAGGTCAGGAGGGACGGGGGCATCTTTGGTAGACTCGTCGGGGTACAATTCTCTAGGATGACCGCGTTTTCGCCACAACTGCTCCCGAAACATGTCTTCCATCTAATAAAATGGTTCAAATTAAACATCAATCAAAACAACGCAAATTAATGTAAAATATAATCATTTGCATTGCAACTCAAATAATATAACCAACACTTATAGCAACAAAAATATACATGGTAAACATACTTCTAACTAAATCATCGACAAAATTAAACTAATATCTTCCTCCAAACCATAGCCCATAGTTCCCAAATATAATTTTCCTCCTAACCTTAACTCCCATTCATAATCATAATATTTCAATCCACCATTCAAACGAAAATAAAAAGTGTGTCATTACCTTGAACTTGAACGAGGCCGAGGAGGGAGGGAGGTGGCCAGGGAATGGAAGGGAAGGGAGGGAGGGAGGCGGCACCAGAGGGCCGGGCACCGACAGCACTTGGGAGTGGCGGGCAGGCAGGCAGGGCGGTGGGCAGGCGCGAAGGCACGGCGGGCAGGTGACCAGGCATGGCAGGCAGCCGCGCCACCGATCAGGGCGCGTTAGTGCCGCGCCAAGATTGGTGGCGCGGCAGACCCTGCCACGTCACCGGTCAGCGCCCCGGTCGTCACCACGTCAACCCTCTCGCCGCGCCACCATGCATGGCGCGGCACAGGCGTTTTGCCGCGCCAGGGAAATATGCACGACCAAAAGTGTTAGTTTTGGAAAAAAAAATAAAACAGTGTTAGATTTAAAATTAGTTTACAAAAAGTGTTAAAAAAATCTTCCCATCCATTCTTTCCTCTCTCTTGTCTCGCTCCTAGCTCTAGATCAAGTACGGACAGCTAGCAGCCACGACTTAGGCAGGGCAGCAACACGGTGGAAATGGAATGCAACTGGATCGGCGCGGAGGGGGACCGGATCCCCACTGTCGTGGACCAAAGCTGCGATATGCAGCAGCCGAACGATTTGGCTGAGCGGATCGTGCGTTGTAGCATCGACAAAGGACAGTGCCAATGGCATCACTCAGGGCCGTGATGGTGGTCACCGTTGCCCTACGTGACGGTACAACATTGGAGGCCCCATGCGGCGGGCAGGAGCTCGGCGAGTGGTGGCGGTAGCCATGTGAGACAAGGGTGGGAAGCAGTACCTGAATTCTATTTGAATTAGAGTGGGGGCTGATAAGATTAGCCGTCCTAGAAAGTAAAACATCTCGGTTAATTCTTAAAACCTTGTGCACAGATATTTTTCTTCACCGGTGCAAAAATTAACTAAAGATATCATATTAGTTTATTTGCTTTTGAGCACATGTTAAGTTCCAACCAAAGAAAAAAAAGAAAGATTGAAGTTGGTACTCTGCTCCTTGTGCTAGTTACAATGTGTTTGTGGGGTGAGAGTGGCCTTCTTAACTAGTTAATTGTTGGCATAAAAAAATGCAGTGGATTTCGGTGGTCAACGTCAAGACGGTAGTACAAGAAATATCTCCTTACTTAGAGGACACAAGCAATGATGCACCTCATGTCATCTACTTCGACGGATGGGTTGCGCTCTGTTCGCTTGTTTTATAAGCCATATTTTTTTAGCCAATGAATAATATTTTTCTCTCGCAACAAATTGACTAACAGTACTTTCAGCCATGGCTTATCAGCGTACCATTAGACTGGGTGCTTCTGCGGTGCTTAGAGCTATTGCAGAGCAGCCTCCACCATCTTTACGAGAGAAATTCGACAGGATCATCCACATTGACTGTTCGATGTGGAAGAGCCGAAGAGCATTGCAAGGGTGATCGCAGACGAGCTCAAGCTCACTCAACAGGTAGCGGCCATTGACGCGCAAGACGAGGAGGACGATTCCAGAGCTGAGGTTAGAGGCGTCATGGCAGCAATAACTCATTATCTAGTACAGTACAGTACAGATGTTTAGTTGTCTTTCGCAATGGAAGTGATGGTATGGTTGACTTGACTAGGTGCGTGTTTAGTTCCTAAAATTTTGTAAAATTTTTCAAGATTTTCCGTCACATCGAATCTTTAACGCATGCATGAAGCATTAAATATAAATAAAAAATAAAACTAATTACACAGTTTATACGAAATTCACGAGACGAATCTTTTAAGCCTAATTAGACTATGATTGGACACTAATTACCAAATAACAATGAAAGTGCTACCGTATCATTTTCCAAAAAAATTCGCCAACTAAACAAGGCCTAGCTGTGGCATTCCGCAACCTGAAATCTTCAATACTAAGGTATTATGGACCTTCAGAGGACGGCTTCGTCTCAATGCAGAAATTCTTGAAAAAAGAACAAGCAGGTTCACACCTTCTTTATGCTCATGATGACCGTAACAGTAATTGGAATACATACCTTGCAGAAGATGCTAGAGAAATCGCTTTGCACACACACAAGCTTGGCCTTGGTGTTACACCTGAAATAGCCACAAAGTGTTGCTTGTACCTCTTGTCATTGAAGAACCAAGTAAAGAAGATGATTGAATACAACTGGGCAACCCATGCTTATAGCTACTGGGTTTGTGATGGGATCATAGGAGGAGGACAGGACAACCAAACATGGGAGGTTGCTCATGCTCTGCAGCAGCATATAAGACTAGAAGACTACTCATCCAATACAGAGCTTATGGGGCCTGTGAACAGATTGGATCTTTCCTCCAAACAATGGATTTCTATTACTGAATGATATTTGAAAGAGGTTCCTCCAGAGACTAACAACCCTATTCTTTGCACCCGACAGGTCAAGTCCACGAGTATTATCATTACCTAGTGACAAGTTCCATAAAAGCGGATCAACTCCGGGTGCTGAAGTTATACGGATGTACCTTCAGCTTTTCATCACCTCCATTCCATTGCTGCTGCAACTTAAGATTCCTTGGACTGGATAGATGCAAGGATGAACTGCAACAAGGGGAGGAGGAGAAGAAAACAGGTGAACCAGCTGTGGAAATTTTCCAGCGGCTATGGGTGCTAGATGTATGCCACACGGATTGGCCATTGGCTTTTCCCCCAGAAACAGAAGAGCAAGTGTCTACAAACATTAGAGGTTCATATAAACAATGGAAGCATTTGGCGCAGCAACCTTGCATGGAGACGACTGCCAAACCTTCACAAGCTTCAAGTAGTTAAGCCAACAAGCCCTTGGGAGACATATCATTCATCACTGGAACCAACATACAAGTGGAGAATAAGCAATATAATGCCACAACTTGTATACAACTTCACATGTTTCATTGTGACAAATGTCTGTCTCACAACTATACTGGGAAAATTTTGCTAAGCCTTACAGTCCTAAGTTCATCTAGCCCACTCGATGTTCAGGATAGAGGTATAAACAAACACCAGAAGTTTATTCTCGCTCACCTTCAGCCTAGGACCATCATCAGCCTAACCTAGTTGCCTACATGAGTATGAGCTTTGACAGAGACACTCAGGATTAGGAGCTGATGGCCAAAAAAACACTAATGCTTTACAATGGTATGAACCCTGGTTAAACACGGGCAATGTTCATAGGATAAGCAATTTTTCCTCTTGACCTTTTCATGCTTTTGTTGTTGAATCTGCCAGCGATGAACCTGTTGGTGAGGGGCATGTATCGAGATCCCGTTTGCCCTTTGATTTCTTCATCTTCGCTTTGAACCGGGACTTAGCCATCAAGGTGTCCACTGTGTTTGCAAAGTTACCAATTGCCATTGCAATCAGCAGGATCCCGCAGACCACGACCTGTGACAGAACACAAAGCATATAACATGGATAAATACTAAAGAAACCTGATTGCATTAGCAACTAAAAATACAATGGAATCCTTGTTCATTAACAGCTAAAGTCTCTGACCTGCCACTCAGGGACGACGCCAGTATGAGCTGTGCGAAGAAGTAAAAACCCAACATAACCCTCAAATCCCTAAACAAAAAGGAAAAAGAACAATCAGATATTTCCTCCACCGGCCATATGTTTATGAGAAGATTGTAACATCATGTTACATGATGCGATCATGAACCAAACGTACAAAAAATGATATTGGATATAGAAGCAAGGAGATAACTGCAGGTTATGCAGATAACTGTGGGCTGTCGTGTTCAAAAGCATTAAGCCATCAGAAGAAAGAATACCTGCAAGAGAAAAAGGAGAGGACACAACAGCAACAATTGACCTTCAACACCAGCTGTCTCTCCCCATACAACATCCATCCTTCTAGCCTGATGACAAAGCAAAATTCCAGTCACGAAAGATTACTTTGACTGAAGTAACTGCACAGTATAGGTCCATTTAGGTTTATCCTAACTCCTAAGTCAAACTTCAACTTTGACCATCAACGTCTATTATATAAAGATTGGTAAAGCAAGATCAACATTGTTAGACTCAATATAAGAAATACTTTCATAACTTTTGAATCTAGTATTTTCAATATATATAAAAATTTACGATAGTGATGAACAAAGCTAAACAAAATTTGAGACCGGGCAAAACTAGATAGACTTATATTTGAGATTGGATAAAGTAAATTCTATCAAGACAATAAGGGTGAGATCCTCCTTTTTTTTTGTCAGAATATTACCTTCCCCAAAGCAATCCTAGTATATAATCTTTGACGCTGATATCTATTTTGCAACATCATGACAAATCCTTGCATTATGGCCCAGCACAGAAAAAGTTCAACGCCTCTCTGTCAAGAAAAAACAGGTTAAGCACATGCATCTGTATACATTACATAATGAAAAGATAAAAAATGCATACCTGCTTGCGTGCACAATTAGGTTGCCCCTTTATCTCCCATGTGAGACTTATAAGAGACATCAGCATGGCACAGTAGTGATGAAGTATCCACCTTAAGGGAGAAAACAACAAGAAGAGATAGTCACAATATGGAACCGGGACAAAAAGGCAAATGGAATAGTGGATAAATAGGTCTTGGAAAACAGAAGTTATCCCACATGCATTAGTTTAAAAGCTTTTAACCCACAGGCCACAACACCCTTAGTTTCTGCAGATATGATTATATGCCAGAGCATCAGTAATCCTTACCAAGGACGAATATCACTTCCATTAACTCGCAGGATGTTCTCACGCAAAGCTAAAGTAGTATACAGGAATAACAACCAAGCCTGTACAAGGTAAGTTGAGATATCAGTGTCTTTTGGCAGCATGAAACATAGGATTAATTCAACTATTGCTGCATTGCTGCAAGCCAGCATTAGAGTGTACCTGGTATAGCTGAACTGGCAATGCTGGAAAGCATCCATTCCATAACCATTGTCGAAGAAACAACAGAATCACCGGAAAACTAAGAAACAGCAAGGCAGTTCTGTCCTGGAAATGAGGGGGAAAAGTGATTAGAAACAAAATAAATTTTATAGCTAGTATGGATCTATCATCCAATCCAAGGATCTAACACTGATAGCTAAACTAAGATTCCTTTTGCAAAAGCAGAGTAAAAGGATGCATCTAGTTTCTTATTTGTATACTTAAAGATGACCAAATATACAAAGATCCAAGTAATGTTGATGGAATACTATAGCTGAAATTGTCCTAAAAAGTTGCTTTTCCATTTGCACAGAAAGAATGTTAATTCCAGTACCGGCATCAGCACAACCCTGACAGGATAAACAGGAGCCCCTGAACTCACCACATATTATGTTCCATTAGGAAAAGTGAGCGAATGAAGAGGTCAAGAGGGATCTTGTGTTAGTCATTTCTGTAAACCTAGATAACTGGAAGTTACAAGGTTATAGTTTCAGAGGAAAATCAGAGTTACATTAATTCAAATTTATTTACTTCAAAAATTTATATTAATTAGTGGATAAAAACTCCCCCAAGTTAGACCACCTTGTTGACTGAATAGCATTAGATACAAAGAGAATTATTATAAGCATTTGGTCGGCTGAGCAGCACAGACCTGTAACCTGAAGTCTAACAACCTTTTGTGCTTCCCCAGTTAGTTCCAATATTATTCAAGTGTCATGGTAAAGATAAATTACATATTGTGACAGTGCATGTTTTCACTTCATGGAAGCTTTGATGAACGAACTAAAAATATCATTGTTCCCAAGATACTTGGATCAAAGAACAAGCCAAATTTCAAAACTCTAAATCAACTAGTGCCTCCAGCACGATTATATATGATTCACACAAAGTCCCCATTTGAAAAACACAACTTGACATCTAGAATACCATGAATAATACAGTTTGACACATACCCTGTAGCTATTGTACTCCTCCTTCACCTTGAGCTGCACCTCCTTCCTTGTTGCCCGCAGATTTACTGGTCCCAAGAACATCTTCAGAAAAGCGCCTGCAAACCCAACAGAAGTACAGAACATTATTACAAACAAAACACAGGCTTCACCCCCGAAAAAGAAATAAGAAGACAAAACCCAAGAACAAGATGAACCAAGCTTAAAACAACTCAAATCACCTTGCGTCTTGCTCGGGAGCAGCGACGCAACATCGCCATCAGCAATGAGGCACGTCGCTCGATCCAAGTCCTCCTCAACCTGGCCAAAACCACAGCCACATCAACACGAGCAAAATCACGCACATTGTGACGATCAATCAGCGGCAGGCACGGAAAATGATGAGACGACGATTCAGGAACCCAAGGAACCCCAAGAGTTCGTTCCCTCTCAGACACCCGGACTACATACACAGCCGCATTGAAGCTACCAAAGCTGACACTTTTACAGCAGGCCAAATCGCAGTGCTACAGAAGCAGATCTCCCCAGCGATCCCGGCGCCACCCACCGCCCCAGCGACGCAGCATGTAGAGCCAAGCCAGCAGGGCACGGAACCCTAAGCGCACCCGGGGACCCGCACGGCGCGCGATCTCCTCAAGCGTCTCCGCGCACCGACACGCATCCGCCGCCGGGCGCAGTCACACACACAGGGGGTTCGGGAGACACATGCGCGCGCGCGCACACACACAAAGAGCGCGAGTGCGTCGGGAGGAGCGCACCTTGTCGCTGTCGGCGTGCGCCGCGGCAGCCTCGCGCAGCCGCCGGAGCTCCCCCTGGAGCGCGGCGGCGCGGCGGCGCAGCGCCTCCTCCTCCGCCCGCGTCCGCGTCAGCAGCGCCGCCGCCGCGTCCTGCAGCTCCCGCGCCTGCTCTGCCGCGCGCGCGGCCGCTGCCGCGCCGTCCTCCCCTCCTCCCTTCCTTTCCCCCTCCCCCATCTCTCCTCCTCCTCTGCTCGCCTCGCCCCCCTCTGTAGAGCGAGCGGCTGCTCTGTCTATAGGGGCCGCGGGAGTGCGAGGCAGACGCACGCGGCTGGAGGCTGACCGGCGGGTCCCACGGCGCGTGGGTGGGAGGAGGTGGGTTGGTGTCGTGGTGGTTTGGTTTGTGCTCTGCTGAGCTTTTTATTTAATGGAGTGTGTGAATGCGATTAGATTTGGCAGCATTTAAACCAGGGCTTGTTTAGATTGGAAAAAATTTCAACCCGATGAATAGTAGCACTTTCGTCTTATTTGGTAAATATTGTTCAATCATGGACCAACTAAGCTCAAAAGATTCATCTCGTGATTTTCAACTAAACTGTACAATTAGTTTTTTTTTTATCTATATTTAATACTCTATGCAAATAGCTAAAAATTGATGTGATGGAAAAAGAGTAAAAAAACTTAGAATTTTGAGAGTATCTAAACAAGGCCCAGGGGATGTAGGTGTGGTAGATTTGGATGGGATTCGTGTGGTTTTG